AATATGTAAAAAAATGTGAAAATTAAAATAATTTAATAAATTGAGCATTTTGATAATACCTTTAACACAAGCTCAACACGCTTTAATTTTTTTGTTTAAAGAAACATAAATTTTATTATTTGATTTTTAAGAGAAGGCACTTAGATTTTTAATTATTTAATTATATATGTATATATTATTTTTTCTTCTTTCTAAAGAAACAAGTTTCTGGTGATTTTACAATATTATACACTATTATATTTTTTTTTAAAGTACATTCGGAAAATATAAATTTATAATATATATAATTATATAGTAATGTTTATATGATGTGTAATTTTCAATGTCAACCATATATAATTAAATCTCGATTAATTTTTTATGTATTAGAGTATTATTTTATGGAATGAGTACTCTAAGTGGAATGATAATTTTTATATTTGTTTTGGTTGGTATTATTATGTATTCTGACCTTGAATATAGGATAAAACATTTTATCTCGACTCTGAGGAGAATGGGAATAGAAAGTAGGCAACAATTATGAAACCTTTCAAATGAGAGCTGATATTTAATATATATTCTACTATTTCCATAATAAGTGACAAAAGAAGCATAATCGTATGCGTTGGATCGGTTCAGTTTTACCAAGATTTGTGTCGGGGACATATTATTATTCTAAAAAATGATAATAGGAAAAATATTTAAATTATTCCAAAAAATGATTTTAGGCTATGTTTCTTCCCATGACCAAGAGTCCAATATCATCAAAGTATTTGATGCGTTTCCTTGGATAAGGTTTTTCATACAAGAAGGGAAGAAGATGCACCCACCCTTAGCTCAGGAAGGGATAATTAATTTTTTATGATTTAGATAAAGAGTGAACCATTTACTAAATTTATACATGTAGTATCTCAATTTTTTTCTTGTATTGCTTGAACATAAAAATAATTATATTATGTTATAAGAGCATGTTTTGATTATCATATTAACCAAAATATTGTAACTAAAAATATCTTCTGATCCTATGATTTATCATACCCCAATAATATTATATATTTAATAAATTTTTAAAAAAATATTAGAAATGTTATTATTAATCGCTGTTTAAAACAGGTATTATATCTATAGAAATTATATTACATGATATTGGGTCGTGTTTATTTAACATAAATTCTTTATGTGTACAAAAGGCCCTTTTGTTTAGCGACATGTAATTAATATATCTAATTTTACAATTACAACCTTATATGTATTAATATTTAATATAATGATAATTGTTTTTTTTATTATGCTTATTATAATTTAAAATATAGTTCTTTCTTCTTTTTTTTTTTAACTTTTCCCATCAATCATTATAACGAATGATTAAAAATAAATATTTATTTAGTATATACAAATACAAAATTTAATTAACCTATTTGAATAGATTTTTTGACGAGCTTCTAGAAAAAAAGATTCTTAATTCTCTGTCAAGTTCAGCCGCGTTGCGAAAGTTAAGGAATTGAATTTGGGCAGGCCAAAAATGTTTTTTATAATTGAGAAAATGGTAATATTGGTAACAACAATAAGTCATCGTGAGGAGATGATAGAACTTTCTCACGGGAGAAAATATACATAAAAGGAAAGAAATGGAAATAAAGATGGATATTTACAAAAAAACAAAAAATGAAAAAAGATGGGAAATGGTCGATTCCAAATATGAGTTGATTTGAAGAAGGCAATTTACCCAAATTAGGTCAAATTATTCATGGTATAACATATAAATTGAAAGACTTATAATTATGTAGACAAGGCCCTCGACATCGAGGATGGGGAGTAATAATGCAATAAAGTCATTAAAGTTTCATAGGTCAGTTTTGATTGTAAATTTTTAGTTTCAGTTAAACATGGTAACTCATTACTTTTGCGAGAAATTTTATTCATTATTTCATCTTTATTATTTTAAAATCTAATATTTTCCAGCACTTTAATCGAATAAGAAATTTATATGAATAATTAATAAATTTGTATTCATAAATCTAGTTACAATTTCAAGCCCAACATTAATTAAGTGGCTGTTCATTTCAAAGGCCTTAGCTATAATTTTGTTAAAAAGGGAAGCACTGTTAGCTGAGTTTTTTCCCTTGAATTCTATCAGAGGGTTTCAAATCCATTTGTTGCGCCTTTGGCTATTTTACATCTCTTTTAAAATATTTTATTTTTCATTTCTATTTAAATAAAAGGCTGCTTTTTTGGTGCATATCGATATAATTTTAAAAAAGCTAAATAAATAAGTAATTTAAAAATGAATTGGAACCATCTTGCGGATTTATATTTATAGATTAACGTTAAAAAAATTTTTTTTAAGTATTTCTTTTAAATTCAAATTATTTTTATATATTAAAGTTATTAGATAATTACCAAAATTACCAAATACTTAAATTTTGCGGGAGTGAGATGTCTGCGTGTAAACTAAAAAATAGCTGGAGTCTCCCGCTGATGGTGGGAGACCTGACAACCCTGCTTATTATGTATGAAGTTCAATTTTATTAATTCCATACAAAATAATAAAATACTAAGAACTAAAAACTAAAATAAAAAATAAAAAATAAAAAACTGAATGTTTATCTATTTTAATATGGATACGTTCGATTTTTGGATAGGGTTGCTTTAGCAACCTACACATTAAACAAATTTAAAGCATAAGTCTGAAAATGGCAAAATTTTCCGGCTCTGTTGGGTTTTCATTTTTCCCCGGCCACGCCGAATTTGCACCCGGGGGATTCCAATTTTCTAAGGTTGCCCGCACCGGTTTTATTAATCCATAAATTACTATAGGAAAAGAAAATAGTTTATGCAGTTCTAATAATTAATTTTTTTTAAAAAAAATGTATTATTAATCAAAGCAATTGAGGATTATGTTATGAATGTAAACAATACGGAAATAAATAAATAAATTATTTTAACAAGAAAATTTATTATTTCCATTCTCTATTAACGGGCCAGGCAGTTTCACTTTTCCTCCGGGTGGCCCATTAAATTTGCCTTGTCCATCTAATTCTAGCTCAATATCTGATGGCTATGTTTTTAATGTAGTGTGGTATATAAGATTATTTAATACTGAGTACACTGAAAAAGTAATACTAATAATTCGCTTATATTATGGTCACCAGCTGATTTGTTTTAAATGACGATTCAAACATGCCTTTTAATGTTTGACTCGACAGTGGAGTAAAAAATATAGGGTTAAATTTCTGAATATTTTCAAAAAAGGTTCAAGGAATGTTCAACTAAAGGAAATTTTTTAGTTGGATGAAATATATTTTAAAAATAAATAAGTATCTGAAGTAAGGAGTAGTAGGTTAGAGGGATATAAGTTAGGGTTATTTAAAGGTTTGAGAGATATAGGGTAGGGTTTATAATTAGTTTTTAATAAAATGTAATCCTTTTTATTAATAACCTGTCAAACCTGACAGGTCATGTGATTATAAATAGACGAAAAACTAACCTAACGTCACCATTTAAGAACAAAAACACGAATTTCTATGTTTTTAGCCGTTTAAACCAAGTTTTTAACAAAATTTTTCTTAAAATAGCAGCCCACATTTAGAAGAAACTAATATAAGTTAAAACACCTTTATGATAACGGATTTTCTACCCCAAACACTTGAAGATTAAGCCTGATTAGCGACATTTAGCCATTACCCAACGATATTCTCCTCACCACATTAAATTTAATCGAGGAACCTGCCTAAAATATTTTTTAGATTTTTTACGATATCAAAAATAAATAAATAATGCATTGTCTAGTCCTTTGTATCAAATCTATTTTTCTTTTTTAAATACAAGATCATAACTATATATGAAATAAATATTATAATTGACGCAATTTATCTTTGTATTAAACCTTTTTGCGTTTACCTTTCCTTTTCTTTTATCCAAATAAAATCCAGTTCTAGTACAATGATTAAAAGGTAGAGTATGGAGAGAGACAATAATTTTTATAACATTTTGAATAATTATTTTTCTGAAATTTTTTTTAAAAATAATATCAATAAAAAGCCATTATGTTAAAGGGCTTTTCGACTAATTTCCTGTTTGCTTTATAATTATTATCAGTACACGATCATTTTAACTAATAAATTGTATAGTCGTTGCATTGATTTTAAAATCATAACCAAGCCTAATGCAAATATTACAGTTCAATATTATTATAAATTTAATTTTGATCATTTTTTAAAACTATAAATAAATTATAAGTCACTTTTTAAATTATAATCGTAATGATATAATTAAATTTTTTTTTTTAAAAAATGATCTATTTATTTTTAATTTAACTTTTTATTTTATAATACAAATCGGTCATAATCATAAAAATGGTAAAAAAAATTATTTATCTATAATAAAATTTATGATTTCTCTACTAACGAAACAAATTTTTTTAAAATTTATTTATATCATAAAAGCGCTCTTCCTCGAGGAGACTATAGATTATGGGCGTCACTTACTAAATAAGTTTTGAATTAATGATTTGACTTCTTTCCCAAAAGCGAGAAAGGAATTTATGACATTGAATTGAAATTAAGAAATCAATATATTAATCAATTTCAAAGACTATAAAATCTTAACTTTGTCAATTCAATTTTTCATAGAATATTGGATTGATTTTTTTAAAAATAAAATCATAATTATTTTGATTTTGAAGATTATGCAATGTTTAATGATGGCGACTAATAATTAATTAACTATTTATTTTTTTTGAATAAAAATAATTTTTTTTTAATACAATGTTTAAAATTTCTTTCTCTTTTTATTATCTAACTTTTTTGTTTTGATTTTTGATTATTTTATTTTTAACAAAAATTATTAAATAAAAAAAAGTTTTGTGAAATATTTTTATATTCTTTTTTTTAAAAAAAAATAAAATAAATAATAAAAAAAATAAAAAGTAATATAAAAAGTAATATAAAAAGTAATAAAAAAAATATAATTAAAATTACATAATAAATGATTTATTTTATTACAAAATTATCGTTTGGAAAATTTCGTCAACTTTTAAAAAATTTAAATCTCTGTATGAAAAGTTAAAATTCTATTCTTTTTTTTTAATTTTAATTTAAATATGAAAATAATATATAAACGGAAATGGAAATCAATATCATTCAAAGAGGATTCTTAAAATTATCTTGGAAATTGTTAATCTACGCGGCCATTTTATTGACAATATTCTTAAATATACTTACTGTGGCCACCGTATCTACCCCATACAAGAATGACGAAACATCGTTATTCGAATATTCGCTTTGTTTGGAAGAAAAGGGAAATGATAATTTTTTGTCTAATGAAAATAAAAAATCCGATCATTCAACATATTGCAAGATCTTGATCCATTGGAATTTTAATGATTCTCACGTTTGGTTTGAAATGGAAGCCGAAACCTTGGGTTACATTACTTTCGGATTTTCTTCAACACCTAATTTAATCCATTCTGATGTCATAATCGCGTGGATCACCACAAATGGAACGATATATTTTAGAGTAAATATTTGTCGATATAATAATTAATTCAGATAACTTTCTTAATGTATAGTTTAGTTAGTATCTTTGTACGGTTTTCTGGAGCGGGCCATTTAGAGGCTATTAGCAGGATTAAAAAAATTTTAAATATAATTTCAGTTTTACCCTTTTTTATCATGCTTTTTTTTCAATTTAGTTATTTTAATATTTTTTTATAGTCATATATTTTAAAATTTATCGAAAACAAAATAATTAGTGTTGTTAAACTACTCGATTAGAGTATATTTTAAAAAACGGCTAATTCACTATTTTATCCAGGAAAATATTATGAAAGCTTAAGATTGTCATTGAGATCACAAAGGTTTGGACATCAATTAGTGAAATTTTGAGGTTTGTAATATTTTCTGGCTAAAATATTGAGTTAATAATCTTTTTAACAACACTGAAATTAATATTTTAAGATCAAAATAGGCTTAAAACATATTTGTGAAAATTGTAAAAACTTTGTCATTAGGCTTCCTTAAAGTTTTAAATTGAGATTGAAACAAGTTTTGGACCGACCTATATAAAATATATTCATATAGTAGTTATTTTTTGGCGGGGAAAAGTGTAGGTAGGGATGTAACTTTATTATATTTAGATTTTGATATTTATGATAACTTTCAAATTTTTTTTAATAGGGAGGATCTCCCCTTGTCTACGCCTACATTTAATTTAGTTATAATTGGTATTTTAATCATCTGATCTGATGATTCATTATAAACCCTTCATTAATGGTCCAGCAATTATTAAAACCGATATAAAACATAACTTACGTTTGATCTTAAATAACTTGGTTAACCGATGACCTTTCTCTATTTATACCATCCCATGTTTTGGCATTAACTAATACCTCTGAGTGGAGACTAAATAAATCACACTATATTAAATTATTATGCATATAGCTGACTAATCCCTTCATTTGCGATTCTGCTGATTATTAAAGAGGTAGCATAAGGAATATTGTCTATATAAAAAAGATAAAACTCATTGCTATTATTCAAAATAGAAGGTGTAATGAATGATAAGAAAACAGAGGTTTAAATGTCAAAATTGTTCAACTTTTGTTTGTAACGATCAGTATGTTTTATAATATAATCCTCGTGGTTACAAAATAATGATTAAGACAAGGTACCAAATTTTTTAAAACAGCACTAGCTCTTTAATAATTATCTTATCAAATAAAATATAGAAAATTAATATTTTAAAATATCAGCAATGTTGATATGTGTAAAATTTTTGGACCTCTTTGAAATATTTCCCGAGATAATAGATGTTGAAAAATTGCCGAAAAATTTACTCCACATTTACTAGTTTGGGATTTGTTTTTCTTTACTCTATGGGGTATAATGTGGTCCTCTAGTTTAGTAACCTGGCTATTTCCTTATATGTTCTTACTATATATACAAAAATATGACTCGGATCGAACATTTGCATTATTCGTATTCGAATCATATTTATATTTATATTTAGAATTGAATAATTGTATTACTCAATGTCGTACGAATATAAAACATTATTTAATTTGATTCGAGAATATTCGATTAGATAATTAAATTAAAGTAAATTCTATATTTTAAAAAAATGAGGAAAAAAATCAGAATATGAAAAAATTTAATATAAAAATTTTTTTTCAGACTCTGGAAAAATTAGATTATTAAAATTTAAAAAGTTATATTAGATGTGGAAATAAAGTTAAAAAAATTTAATGTTCTGTTGGTTAAAAAAATATTTACAAATAATTTTAAATATTTATGAATAAGTTTTAATATTTACAAATTGTTTTGTGTCGTATTTACGATAAATTTTGAATAATACGAAGTATTTCAAAAAATACTAATAATTTCGAATAATTCAATTTAATAATGGATAAAAAATTATTCGAAGAAAAATATTTTTTTCAATTCGAAAATACGAATCTAATATCGAATAATCCGTTTTAGGTATAGTTTTTACCAAGATATTCTTAAATTCTTAATCGGTGGCATAAAAACCACCATAGAAGAGCACTTCAATCAGGCCTTTTTAGGGCTCCGCGTGAAAAAAAAATTGTGATCATTACCTAAAGCAAATACCCTTTTGTGAAAGAAAAATATTTGAAAAGATATTATGTAAGCCTGATGATTTTGCTCATAGATGGCAGAAAAGTTTTGGCTTTTATTCGCCATATCTTGAGGCTTGCACAATATTATTATGGCTAAAATTTTATTCTGGCCGTTTTTAAAAATCGACCCAAATCGTGCTTTTTAACAACACTGTTATCAAAGGCCAGTTAATGGAGATTGCAGGCGAACACGGTGAATGGGCTGTAATGTCTAGAAAATTATTTTATATACAATTACATGTCACTTTTTTCTTACTATAAGAGTATTTCTTTACGAAGAAGAGATTTGTATCAAAAAAAAATTATATATAATATATTTTATTTGCATAATATCATTTTCTTTTATCTTTAGTATTTTTATAAAAAGTACCGACTTTTCTTTTTTATCGACAAATTAAAAGTTACATGATGATATTTGTTCTCAAATTAACAACTAGCCATTAAAAATTATGCATTTTTATATGTCTCCTCTATCCCTAGCCCTAATACATTTAAAAACCCTGGAATTATTTCTTTTTTATGGCCTTTTACTTTTAAACTATATAGAATAAATTAAAAGCCTTGATTCTGGCTTAAAAAAAACCATTTTATTACATAATTTTCATTAATAAATCTTTGAAATATTTATGTTTCATTTTGATGTGATATTTTTTTTTACATCTGCATGTAATAATTATTAATTAAAAGAAATATTATAATTTATAAAAGAAAAGATAGAAAGAATAATTTTCTAAATTTTGCTCTTTCACCCCTCCCTTCTATTTCTTTTAATTTTTTAAAATTCCATCCAAATTAAAAAGTTATTTTTTTTAAAAAAAATAAATAAAATAATGATTTTTAAATTTCAACTTTTAGTCTTATCATGTAAAATTTTTAAAAAAATAATTAAAAAAAGGCTTCATTTTATTTTTATTTATTTCATTTTTTAAAAGAAAATTTTAGAAAAAAAAATAATGGTTTGTTGAGGTTAATATCCAAATGGCGTCGATAAGTCTTATCATTTAATCTAAAGAACCTTTTAGTCAAAATAATGGTTTGCTTGAGTAGCGAGGTCTAGTTGCGAAAAAGTATAAAATTTTAATTACTTTCATAACCGAATTAATCATGTCAGGCAAAATAGAAGGGTAAGAGCCCAACTTAATAAAATTAGTATTTAAAAAAGGTAAAGGAATAAGAAAACTTCCCCCATATTATTTTCCCGAAAAATAAATAAACTATTTAAAAGAATATAAATGATCAGCATCAAGCATATTCTCTATTTGTGTAGTTTGTTTTGTACCTTCTACATCCCTCCAATTAGAGTTATAATTCACTAACTTCGATTTTACATATTCAAATAATTATATGCTATCTATGACGATAATTGTCTTTATCTATTAATATCTACTTTTAAACAAAAATATATAGATTTTAACAATACATTTTATTTGTATCAATACTTAAAAACTCAACATAATAATTATATCTATCTTTATTATTTTAAAAATTAATTAATTAATTAAAACTCGTATATATTTTTGAAACGATAATTAGCTTAATAGAAAAAAGGGGCGGCCATAAAGATGAACCATTGTCAAATGACAATATAATGTAATTTGCTCTATATTACAGGAAAGACTGAATGGATAGAAGAAATGCCAAAATGAGAAGTCATTGGCCTTTTTTTTTGTCGAGAGAGATATGATATTTGTAGATATACTCTAATTAGAAACGGATTTATATAATTTGTTTCTGTCGCCTTTTTAATATATATTATGACGGGATTTAAAATTTTTGTGTTATTTGACCATTGGCATTCACGAGGATATCTAATTAATTCACGACGAACTGTCTCATATTTTATTATGTAATTATTTTAAATTGTTATTTATGCAGTGTTATTAGATAAATAAACGAAATAACAGACTCCCCCCTTTTTTCAAAAAAAAATTTTTTTAAATCGCCCATTATATAAAAAATTTTTAATAATAGGATTGCAATTAAGATATTAAAATTTAATTTCAAATTAATATCAAAACAAAACACACCCTACCACTCATATTATTTAAAATATCTTTTTTTTCTATTCTTATTTATCGAGTGTTTTTTTAAATTAAATTGTTTTAAAGATTAATTTTTTTTTTTAGAAATAGATCAAAATCTTTAGATTAAGCTGAATTATAATATAACCCTTTCTTTGTAATTTAAAAACAACAGAGTAATTTTTTAATTTATTTTTGTAAAGGAGGGGATTTCTTTTCATTATTACGATTAACCTTATATACATTTGTAATTAATTTTTTTTATTTGTAAACCAACCATTTAAATTTTATTCGACACGCGTCTACCTCGTGGCCCCCTTCCCAACTCCTTCCCAAAGTGAATAACTATGAGGTCCTCTTGATGACTAAATTATAAAATAGAATGGACATAGACTTTATATGGTAAGAATTGTTATGTGGAATTCGCGGGGAATTAAGTTTTGGAATGATTCCCGAGAAAAATAGCAGGATAATAAAAAAAATAGGGAGAAAAATAAGGAAAAATATGAAGCTAAAGTTAAATACTTAATATTTTATTTATATATATAATACAATTAATATAAGCAATATAAGTCCAAATAGAAATGAATTTATATTATTAAGAGTAATATGAGATAGAATAATTAAAAAAAATCATCCCCAGAATCAGAAATACATTCATAGAAGCTATTTATTTATTATTTTATTGAATTCTGTGAGAATTTCATCAGGCGGATGTAGATGCCAGATTAATGGTGAAATATTTACAAACGCTTCCCTTGTAGCATATCATAACGTTTCCAAAAACTTTTTTTTTACTATTTAGTTATATTTGTGTCTAAAGGCGTTCCAGGATTTTCCTATAGTGGGGAGGGGGCACTATGAGGAGTGTTTTTCCTCCAAATATTTTATTGGAGTCTTTAACCACTTATTGTAGGCCTTTAGCTATATAATATTTTTATAAAAATAATGTGGGGTTTCACTTATTTTTTTATAAAAATTTTGTATTATAGTTGTTATTTGTAAAGGTTATTAACTACTAATTTTTCAGTCTCCACCTCCCTCCTGAGCCAGACTATGTCTAAATTTAAATTTAGATGATTGTTTAACATATGGAGTGGTAAAGGCAGTTGAAAGTTCATGGGTAGACACGTTGCCAAGATAACGTTGGTCCAAGATTTGCTACAAAATGATTTTTCCTGTTTTTATTTAGTCATTTTGCTATGAGTAAAGATGTAAATTATGTTTTATTTCTGTAAATATTTTTGGTACATGAGATAAATATGATTTTCCTATGCACTTGTAAGAGGAAAATAATTATAATATGGTTTAAGAAATATATATAATCTACAATCATATATATCAGTCTCATATTTTTTTTATGATCAATTTATTGGGAGGAATGGCAAAAACTGATAAAAATATTATAATATTTTGCAATATCGAGAACCTACAGATGATATAACAGAAAAAATAACGTATAGGAGCAGTGGTAAATAATAAGTTGATGTAATGAGAATGAAAGATAATGTTAAACCAGATATAGTTCCACTAAGAAAATGTTATTTAAAATTTGACTGAAGATAAAAAAGGAAGAGAAAATAAAAAGAAATTGCCATATATTTATAAAAATTAAATGGGGGAACATTTTTCTGAGTATTTACCCTTTGCATACATAACTAGGTATGAGATTGAATTTCACTTGTTGGAGGACCCCAAAACACCCCCCCCCCCCCCGATGATATTAGCCTTTTATTATCTACCCTATACACCACATCATATTCTATATAACAAAATTTAGATTTGACATAAAAGCTATCATATATAATAATATTTATTTTTCACATAATTATATATATTTTTAAAATATATACAGGATAGCTATATGATCAACGATAATTTGCCCTTAACCGACGAATATCAAGACTACCAATATTCAGGCAAACAAAACTCGACTCATACTCTCCTCAATTTCGTGAGAAAACGAGATACCTGTGATTCTATGGACTTTAGGCTAACGGTAAATTACATTTTTTTTTACAATAGTTGATAGTTTTGTTAAATTTTTTCTCTCACTTATTATTTTTATTTATGCACTTTACAAACCTAGGCGATTATACACTTGTCACAATTATTTATTTTTTTAGTAAATTGGTTTAAAAAATTAGTAATTTTTAAACGTATTCACCATCTTCTCCATAAAATGTATCAAAGTTAAATTTCTAAGTCAATATTAAGGTTGTTTATTATATTTACAAGAGAACTTAAAATTGTAAGTTTTGATTTGCATTTTTAAAAAATAATCTTTTGAGGTGGTGTTGGTGGATGTCGAAATCAGTTATAATAGGACAGATGTTCAATTTTTCGTTTTGATTTGTTGCAATATATAAATTATTTTTATTCATACAAATTTTTAAATTAAAAATTATACACTTTAAAAAAATATAATTTGTAAAAAATATATAATTATAGAGTTTATAAATTCCTTTTAAATTTTTTATAATATTATATATATATATACCTTTTCATAAAAAAATATCATAATCATTATAATTTGTAAGAACGAGCATCTTCCGTCAACAGTCAGAGTGCTACAATTCTACTTTTCTTCTTATTCCTTTTAAAATCTAATAACGTTTGAATTATTAGGTTACTCTGTCATTAATATACACAAATACTTTATTGTATGAGCCGAATAATATACACTTTGTTCCTCAAAAAAAATGAACCAAGAGTATAACACTTTAAGTAAATACATGTAAAATATTTCTTTGATGCTTTACGTTATATGTAGTACATTTGGCTTTTTACCGAAATCTATAAAATGTGTTACATCAAAAGACCGATTGGTTTTAAAAATGATAAATTTTACATATTGTTTTTTCTTCTTCCTTAATTCCGGTTTTGTAATTTGTATATTTTTTTAATATTAAATTTAAAACTAATTGTCATATTTATGTAATAATTAATTATCATTTTTCTTTTTATAAATATGTATTATACTATTATTTCACATCCCCTCTTTTTTTTCTGTAAATGATCCTTTAGGGGGTTAAAATTGTATAAATAAAACATCTTTTGACAAATATTACCTTTATTAATAATGAAGGTATTACATATACTAATAAAAATATGTGTATCCGTTTTTTTGTCTCTTCTTCTTTCAAAACTAATTACTAAAACAAATTTAAAATTAAAATTAACACGTTGATGTAAAAAAATTGTAAAATTTATCATTCATTCTGTTCTGAATTATTTATCAATATTATCATATGATCAGTATTAATAAAAAAAAATCTCTCCATTTAAGTCGATTTTCAAAAATGTCTCAATATTTTAGCCAGAAAAATATTGTCAAAACCCCGATATTTTGCTAATAGATGTCTTAACCTTTGTGCCACACATGAGCAAAATCTTCAGGTCTGCAAATATTTTTGAATTTTGCTTCACTGACGACCAGCTTTTAAAGGGATGTTTTTTTAACATTGTGAATAAAATAGATTTGTTAGGCCAATTCCAATTAACTATTTTGGATCTCTAAACAGGCGCCCAATGGAAGATCCGTTTGCACGAGTTTCCGGCCCGGTCTAAAAACTTTGCATTAGGCCCGATTGACCTCGACTACTTCCATTCGTCTTTTTTCTTTTTGCAAGTTTTCTGTTTAAACTCAATATCTATTTGATTGAAATATTTATCCATTATAATGAATAATAAAGTATTTACTGAAGGTAATTCTACATTTGTTTTAAAGACATATTATGTTAATGGTGAAGTAGGTAATATGCAGGTTAATGATGCTTGGTACCTTAAGGTACCATCTATCAAATTTGAATTTTGTTCACTCTTCATTTGGATAGGCACTACCAAAGATATTTATAATATATATTTGAAAAATCGTGATTTTTGGAAAACCTCTATGGCCTAGTAGGCAAGAGCTTGGTTTACTTATCCCATGCTCCCGGGTTCGAATCCCGGGAATAATCATTTTTTTTTCTTATTCTAACTTGGTGGTTCCATCCTTGGGGGGATAATATATAGGAGGCCGGACTCGACCACGTGATTCCGTATTAATATATTAAATAATAAGGATCTTATTACATTTCAATAAATTTTGGTCGGTATTTAGCAAATTAGGTTGGTATTTAGAATATTTCCATACATTCACTTGGTAGTAAGCATCATTAACCTAATATGCAGAACTATATAAAAAATTTCATATCTGCATCAGAAACTTTAAATATGGTGCAGCCTTTGGGTCTGTCTTTATTAATATTTTTTTACCCAAATAATCTAATTTATATTATGGAATAAAAAACAAAATGAACCGGCCTTCATTTTTTTTTAAAATCTCCTTTATTTAAATTTGCACGATTTAATAGTAGTTTGTATTTTTTTTGTTAAAATGGTAGAATTTTGAGATTTTAAGTGTTTAAGATAATATCTTATAATTGGTGTATTAATAAGCGGAAGCAATATTTTACTAAAATTCGTAGTTAAAAAAGAATTATGTAAATAAATTTTGCAATTTGAAATCAAGATCACTCAACTCACTCATTTAGATGGGTTTACACAAATACATTTTTATCAATATTATGTAATTTTGCAAAAAATAAAATCTAATATTAATAGTTTAATTTGTCTATTCCATTCATTTCATAGTTCATTATTACGCATTTAATTTCCCACAGTTTTATAACTTTAGTTTAACAAAATCAATTAAATATAGGCATTTTTGCAATGATGCCATTTTATTTACTATTTATTTATTTATTTATCTAGAGTTTATATATCATTAAAGCATCACATTAAAATTACATTTAAGTGTTATATTATATGTATATTTTTATAATTTGAAAGAGAAAAAAAAACTAATTTTTCAAATTTTTCACCTATCTATGATAATGAAATTAAATTTTATATTGTTATTTATTTATGTATTTTTTTATTGAAATTTTTTAGCAAAAGGGGGACCCTTTGTTATTTTAATTTCATCCTAAACCAAACGAATCATAGTGTAGTGAGTTATATAGAAAACTTATCCCCTCAAAAATAAAGTAATTTTGCCCTGTCATTGTTTCCCTTGTATCCTCCATACATTTTTAATTTTCAAAAAAAATAAAAATAACTTTGCCCTGAAAATTACCGAATCAAAAAATCAGGAAAAATTTTATATTCGTTAACAACATAAAATCATAAAATGGTTTTATAAAATTTAATTTGTATATATTTTTTAACAAAACACTCCATCTCCGTTCATAGCATTTTAAAAAAGAAGATAATCATTATATAAATGAAGGAATTAGTTAGCAAATTTATGTGAGAAAATTTTTCATTTATTTTAAAAAAGAAAAAATATTCATATATTAATAAAATTATGAAAATGAATAATTATTATTATTCAAGGGAAAGGGAATTGATTGAGTGGGAATAATTCTTTTTTTTATTTAAAAATAATAAATAGTATATTTTGTTATGTAATTGACATTATTGCCAACTAAATAAAAACGATTTTGTTTTATAAACTTTTATTTTACCTGAGAAAGTAGTTCTAATTCGATCAATTCTTGGTTTGATCCTGATTTTATAAAAAAAAATAAAATAATATTTGATGGTGAAGAAAGGTAATCGTAATAAACGGTATATCAGGAACCCTTTGATTTTTAAAATTTTGATAGAAATTAATAAAAGTGACAGAATAGGTCATCTTATATCAGTAATTTAAAAGCATTTTTATTTATGAGTTGTTATAATCGATTTATAAATTATATTTTTTTTGAGAATAGATTAAAGCATTTATGAAGTTTGTTGGGGTCGAATCCTCTGCATAATCTAAGCCATTCAAGCAAAGTAGAGGCCATTTTCATCCAAGGGTCGTTTATTCAGAGTCACACTAAAGTATGGGGAGTGCCTTTCGTAATTGATAATGATAGTCAATGATCTGCGTGCTAACATAGTCTTTATCTTTAAATTAACTGAAAATATAACAGGAAATTTTAAAATGGATACCGATTTTGTATGCATACTAAGAGAGTAACCCTCTTAAATTTAAATGAAATAATTACATCGTAAGCCTCGCCACTAGGATTGTCAAATCGAGCTTTGTAACAACCCTACCCCCTTTTAAGAGGGTTCTGACTGGGGTTACCTTAAACAAACCGGAGTAATTTAATTGTACAAATTTGATATTACATGGATATCAAACAGCATAATAGTGCGCATAAATTAGGTTGCCTCTTTTGTTAGTATCGTCGATTCAAAATTTTAACTGAGTTATAAAAAATAATTGGTTTTTGTAAATTATATTATTATCGTCTGCCTTTTTTATTTCATCAATTTCTAAATATTCCATTTTAAAAGCTAAGTATTTTTTTATATAATATTAAATTTAAAAGGGATTTTTACCCTCAACCTTATTATTCTTATCTGGGTAACAATCAACTAGTGTTGTTAAACGGCTCGTTTTAAGCCGATTTATAAAAGAGGCTAACTCAATATTTTAGCGGAAAAATATTTGCTAAGCCTCGTGATTTTGCTAATAGATGTCCAAACCTTTGTTCCTTCTACAAACAAAATCTTCAGGCTTGCATAATATTATTCTGGATGAAATATTGATTTAGCCGTTTTTAAAAATTTGCTCAAAACGAGCCGTTTAACACTACAATCAACTATCATGCGAAAAAAAACGTGTATACCAACGTGCAAAATGAATGAACGAATAAAAACTTTTTTTTAAAATGGTTTCTAATGCCAAACGATAATTTGAACCAATTTATATGCATCATTTGAAATCATTATTTCCGTTTATGGAGCAGGTTTTGAAAGGTTCAATGTGTGCTCACATTATAAACTTGTATTTTATATTTCGGATAAGTCCATGACATTATTGGCAGGAGATGACTCACATAATTCTTGGAATTCAAAATGATACAATTGTTCTATTGTTGTTTTATATAAATAAAAATAATTTCCACGAAGAGTGAAGAAAAAAAATTCCCCCCTGACCTGTTGAGTTGACACCTATCCTAGATTGTCAGAATTTTTTTTTATATAAAGTATTTCATATTTTTATGGAATGGAATGTTGTAAAATAAATAATAATAAAATTTTTTTTTCTCAAAAATAATTTTAAAAGTTATGTAACAATGATACACTTTTTTTTATGCATTTGTCGTGTCACCTCATTTTCGTGGAAATAAATTTTTTAAACAAATATAAAAAAAGATAAATAAAGCTTTTCAATGACACGCCAAAAATTCCCATTTAATGCGCACATCCCCCCCCCCCTTGCTTTTTAATAGGTGGACATGGAATTTCTCACGTGATCTATTCTTAAATTTTACGCGAGAATACTATCTAGGGCTGTGCTAAAACTTTTGGCAGCCAAATGTGTGAAAATAATTTGATGATCCTTTTAAAAGAAATCCTAATTTATCTAATTTTTTTTAAAATTAAATAATCATAAAAAACATTTTAAAAATCGTGCACAGACCTATCTGACAAAATATTTTCTGGGACTTGATCGAATTCGGATTTCTTTCTTTGAATTGTTTTCTGACATGGACATCGACAATATTTTATATTACTTTTTTTTAAAATCAATATATTTTATTCAAGAAATTATCTTTTAAGTATAACGCTTATAATTTTTCTGATTATGGTCCAACTCGGTGAAATTATTTTCAAATCACATGACCTGTCAAGTATTTGACAACCATTTTTAATATATATTACTCCTAACCTATATCTTTCTAACCTTTATATCATTTACTTGTTTAACCTAAAATATATTTCATCCAATTAATTTTCTGATTTCTTTGAAATATCTTTCAATCGTTGGAATTTCATACTTTTTCTGATTTCGTTGAAATGTCGTTTTTCAACAACCCAATAAAATAAATTAGATCTCTCTGATTGGACTGGTCCAAATTTTTTATTTATTTGGGATTGGATCGTACGTACTTGAAGTTCGATGCAAGGCTTTAAATTTAGATAATATTAGAAATTTGCAATTCACCTTTGAATCCACAAGAAACTAAATTTGGTTCCTCAAAAAATTGCTCCCGGTGCCGCCATGTCTCTCAGTTTGGGCGAGCCTGATCCTATTAGAATTTTGTTTCAAGTTTAAACTCTTCTAATTTGACTATTTGCATTGTATCGAAAATGTCTCACTTTCTATAAACAACATTTTCAAATTTTATAACTTTGGTTTGCAAAATTTTTGATTCTTAAAAAAATTGGATTATATATATTTTATTATTTTACATGGATTAAGACAGAAAGAAATAAAATCAAAGAAAGAAACCGCTTTGTCCAACGATTGAAATATTTTTATAATTATAATAAATATGTGACGAAAATAAATATCACGTATACGTTACTTTTTTATATCTCGAATAAAATTGCTAAACGGACACCTGTATGCGTGCGCTAAAAAAAACAGGTCAAAGAATAGGAAATACAATATATTTTCAGCAGAGTTTGAAATTTTTTTTTTTTTGAAGAACAGAGTTTTTTGATCAAATTTTACCTACTTCTCTTTCTTTTTTTCCTTTTTTTTTTCTTTCCCAAAATCTTTTTAAATTTTTTTTATATAAATGAATCATTTGTAATTCACGCGTAAAAATTTTTCAAGATGAAATCAAAATTTCTTTTCATACTCTGATTTTCATTCAGTTAGGTATCAATTTCGCAAACCATTTTTTTCAAAGGCTAATGGGGATATATAAGTTTTGTAGTTTTGTTTTAAATTAATTTTTTTTTTGAAAAATATTTAGCCAGATACAATATATCTTCACTGGTCATACCATTCATCGGACCCGGATATCTCTGATTCCCAAAATTCGTTTTTATTTCACGGATTAGTAAGAGGGGTTCGACCCGTGAACTTGTTCAATAGATATCCCAATGATTTCTCGAAATATGGAATCGAACAAATAGGCTATAATAATAATATTGGTAATTCGACACGAAGCAACACGGCCACTATCGACAAAGATAGCGATGGAAGGAAGATGGGCGCGGAAACCGTCAGGACCTTTGACTTGTCTATCAAAGTATAATTTATAATATAATAGCGTTTTATGTTTAAGGCTGAGCTCTAACTCGTTTTTATTTTAAATAGTTTTCAGGATTGCCACCAAAACATTCTTTTTTGAGCCGAATTTTTACAATTAAATCCTCTAAAAGAGTTGACTGACTCAATCCTATTAAGTAACAGCATTCAGGGGATAGATATTACATAACTGTCACACTTGGATAATTTAAAGAATATTCTAAGACAATATGTAAGCGCTGTATCGGGCAGCTGTTATAATATGTGGTCTGGGCCGAACTCTACTGTAATAAGATTCAAAATGCTATCTAAAAAATGGTTATTTTTTAATTATGAAGCTGCGCCCTCTTAATTCGTTAAAATTTTTATTCTTAATTCTGATTTTTTAAGAACAATTTCTTTATAATGCGCTTAAAGTTATATACCTATTCTTTTTTCTTTTTTTTAGTTTAAAAATCACATTCTGTTCAGACAAATATTTAGAATTATAAAGAAAAAAGGATTAGGTAGGACATAGCCTAATATATTATTTTGGCAGAAAGAGAATACATTACAAAAAAAATGTGTGCTTATTTCCCTTTTATTCATAAATTCTTAAAAATTTTTTCAAAAAAAGAATATAATTTTTTTTATTAAAAAACAGGTTAATACGAAAACGAATAACGACGAATTAAATAAGCTTAAAATTTTATCATTCGCCTCACCGTATCTGTGTCAACTCTTCAAATTACCTATATTATCATCATCGTTGAACGTCGACAAAAAATATCATATAATCAAGGTATGCACATCACATTTCGCTTTGTAATTTATCATTATATAATCTAACGTGATTTGATACCAACATCTATTTTATTTTCTAAAGATAAAACTTTTTTTTAAAAAAAATATTATTTTATATATACCTTTTTTAGGAGTTATTAATAATATTGCACTTAAAACCTAATCACAAAATTAATGATATCTATAAAAATATTCATTTTTTTTCTTTCAAAATACCACGGATTTAAAATGAATATTTTTAAAAAAAGGAAAGAGATTAATAATTTAATAATTTAATAAAATAATATAAATATTTTTTATTTTTATATAATTGTATTTAATTGTCATGGATCCCTTCTCATCCTATTTAATTATTTTCTTTTAAAAATAAAACTATTATTTTTAATTTTATCAATTTTTAATTGTTATACTTTTTAAAAAAATCTTAAATATCGTCGTAACACTTTTATCATAATAAGTCTCTATTGTTTTGAAGTTCGCCATTTTTCTGGTTTGGGAAAATAGGATTATAATTAATTTATAAGCTGTTCTTCTATTGATTAATTAGGTTAATTTTTATATTTCGTCCTCGTTCGCATAGGTTTTTTTTCTTTATTAGGGAAATTTTTTAAATTCTAGTTAAAGACTTGCAAGTCGGCCTTCATATTTAGGCCTAAAAAAAAATTTTCTCTCATCTTTTATTAAAATTAAACGATAATTATAAATTAAGACAAAAGCAAATTTATATGAATTTTGGGCCGAGCTCAGGCTTAAAAAAAATTAGAATTTTGAACTGCAATTAATAGTATAAACGTAAAAATAACGCGATATCATTCTCCATTTTATGGCACCAAAATTTCGCAAATATGTTGCTATGAAGAGGTATCAGAAAAGTTAATTTTTTATAAACAATTTTAAAAAAATTGTTTCCTAAGATGAGGGTATAAAATTTTTCTATGGTAACCTTAGTTACTAGTGATAAAGCATTTATTTTGCCCATTTAAGACTTCCTATCTAATTCACACTTTAAGTTGTGTCCTAATTTGGAAATATATAAAATTTTCTATAATAGGAAACGTTTTTATTTTTATGTTAAAATAGATTTCTTCTTTTTTTTTCGTTAGTACGAAAGTTTCCAAATTTTATTTTTGATAATCAGGCCATAGCCTTAAAAAGATAAAGAAAAAATATTTCATTTTAATTTATAGAGAAAATTGACCATCAAATCCCCAAATATCATGTACTCAACTCCAGGATACAAAATCGGAAATCAAGTCCATGACAGAGACCATGATGGTGAAGATACAATTAAAAATGCCGTGAAAGATAAAGCGCTGAAACACGCGGTCCTGTATTCTTGTAGTAGAGACGTCGATTTTTCGCAAACCTTTCCCGATTTAGAAGGAAACATTTTCCCTTGTTACCAACAAAGTTTCCCTGCCGAAATGTTCTATTGCAACGATATAGTAACCGGTTATACCCTGGGTGGCGACGAGGTTAATATTTATATTATTAAAAAATTTATAGTAATATAATTAGGGATATACCGATATTTACATCGAATCAGATCGGCCGATATTTCGCCCTTTTTAAAATATCGATTATTTGCCGATATTATAAAAATTTTCCGATCCGATAAAATGGCATCTTAATTGAAAAATAAAATTATCTCATATTTCTTAATATTTTTGTTTATTACTTATTATGTAAATAGATTAATGTTATTATATAAATAAGTAATTTATCAATAAAAATATTTTATATACTTTGGATAAAACTAACTGATTATTATAATATTATTAAATGACTTATGTTTTATGGTATAGTTAAATGAGAGATTTTATACTATTAAAAAGTATATGAGGTGATTAGATGTCTGTAATGATGCAAATTAGCTCCATTTGAGCCGATTTAATCGGCTAACTCAATATTTTAGCCAAAAAATATTGTCCAAGTCTCGATTTTGCGAATAGTGCAAAACATGCCATCTTTGAGCAAAATCTTCAGACTTGCGTAATATTTTTCTGAATAAAATAATGAATCAGCCGTTTTAAAAAATTGGCTCAAATAGCGCTATTTTGCAATACTTTGATATATGCATTATAAATTAAAATTTAAATAATACAAAATCATTTATAATATGGCAAAATCATTTATGATATCGCAAAATCATTTATGTTATCGCAAAATTATTTATGATATCGGATCGGTAATCGGCCTATATCTTTAATATCGGTAATAACGGATCCCATCGGATCGGCCTCCAAAAAGCGGTAGGTACATCCTTATAATTATGATTATTATACAATTTAAAGAATGACTTATTTTTAAAGCTGATGGCATTTCTTTGAGAGATTATGAAATAATTAAATAAATTAATAATTCTTTTTTAAACTAAAAGGAATTTTATTGGCCACCGGAAGCCGGACATTCAATGGGGACATCGTCTGACGCGGAATACGTGATGCTAGAACTTTTGATCGACCAAACTAAAATTCCCCTTAGCGAAATAAGCGGTGTCGACGAAAAGGCCCGATATGAAATGGGAAACACCGCTTCTAAAAACGAAAAAGGTATAATATAAGAATTAGATTATAATTCGTAACATCTTTAAATTTTTTTTATAAATATATATTCAATTTAATGAAAGTTTTGTTAATTTATCAAATAATGGACTTTTAAAAATATAACAACAAAAAAGATAACTTAAGGCATCCTGTAGTTCAAAGCTTGCAGTATGAAATTGGATTTCAGCTTTCGTATACCGATAAAGTTAGACGTTTTGATGCCGGAGTATTGTCAACAGGTCCGGAACCAACGGATTGGTTCTTTTTTCCCCCCGGCATTGAAAATTTAGTCGTGGATGGACATTGTAATGCTCTTTGCACAGCTCTAGTAATCTATATGATATTTATTATAAAATTCAAAAACCAAATATAATTATTAGTTTATTGATTCCGCTTTTTTTAAAAATAAAAATTAAAAAATAATCAAAAATAACAGCTTGATTCGGGCATTTATTTTCAAAATAAAATGATTTTTCGATTTAAAAAAAATCTCAAAATTTAGAAAATTATGAAACATATCCTAAATCTTCCATTAAAAGTTTTGTAAATTTTGAAATTCATAATTCCTACAAAATTATTTTTATAATACCATTTTGATTAATATAATTGCCCATTTCTTATTGAAAAATAATTAATATTACTTACTCTTTTTTTCCTAAAAATTTCACAACTTTATAAACTTTCACAGCCTTAGTTAAAAACGTCTTTACACATATTTATCAATAGGATTTTCCCAAAAAGGGAATACAGATTTACGCGACCCAATTTTATACGCATGGCGATGTCGCTAAAATTCACTCGATTCAGGCGAGAAATGGCAGAGAGGTGGCTTATATAGCGAGAGACGACAATTACGTTACAGAATACCAAAATGTCCGATATCTTGAACGAGTTAAAATTATCAAACCGGTAATGTATTAAATATTCCCCCCCCCTCAAATATAAATTAAAGCCAGTTTGCGATCTACGAATGACAGGAATAATTGCACCTTTTTCCATAACGATCACTATCCTGAGGAGGTTTAAAAAAAGTAACCTCCTCCATCAGTTAGTCACTTTGGCTTAACTAAATTATATTATTATTTTTAATTTATTTTTTAAAAAAGTGCGTATTTATTCGGTAAAATTTACTGTCGTTTTCAACTATCTAGTTTTCGCTATAAGTTGTTTTTGAACAATGTTAATTTACCTTATTTTTTTTACAAAACAGGGCGACCACATAATTACCAGATGTCACTATGATACAAGATCAATTACCTCTTCCGACAATCCAAATTTGGATAAAATCAATACAAGCAAACACTCCAATATATCGACCCCAAGCATAAATATAAAAAAAGGCGATGAAAGTGGGAATGCCAAAATATTTAGATCTTCCGGCATATTTTGGTATCAGAGACCGTGCATGCAATTTTTATTCTATTATCCGAAATTGAGTAAGCTCGCATCGTGCAAAAGTGAACCAGTCCCGAGCCAAATTTATAATATTTTTAAATCACTACCTAAAATTATTACCGGAAATGATAGTTATATTACCTCCACTAAGAATGTTACAGAAACGCCTTCGAAGAAGGAAAGGGGTAGACAATTGGGCGGAAATCTAAAATCTTACAATGAAAATGAACTTAACGGAAAATCGTAAAAATATAAAATTTTACATACTATTGTTTTTTTTTCCAATTTGACGGCCCTTCCAGACAGATGATAATTTAGTTTGAAATTATAAACAAGTGCCTTTAGGTGCATTAGAGCACTCATTTTTCTTAATAAATTTATTATCAATAAAAAAAAAGGTAAATTTTTTTTATTAATCAAAATATTATCAATTTAAGAATTTACGAAGTTACTATGGAACCCAACAATCAGCCACCAACAACGTTTTACGAGTATCTCAATATATTTCCATGGTCGAAGCAAAAATTAGCTTTACAAAATCTAAAAAAGATTTATGCTAAAGGAGATTACGTCAATTTGTGTAGAGATGTCAATCGCTCTCCCATCGCTGTAAGTATTTTCTCTAGATTAAGCTCAATTATTATTTAAGTTTCTTTCTTCATTTAATTGTTTTTTCATAACAAATTCCCTCTTTTTAGCCGAACGTCGAAAAAAGACATACTTACCCGACAATATATCAGAATTATCCAGAAAAGGTTACTGTTTCTTGTGCCAAACCCAAGATTCATACCAAATATCGTAAAATGCATAAATACTTAATTCATAAGATCGCTCGAAATGATTCTCATAATAATGATATTATTGGTGAATATATTCCTTCAAACAATAATAGATCCATTCACAAAGAAAAACCATTGTCGTCTATACATAACGATTCTGGATTGTTGTTAGATCGAATTATGTACAAATATTATTTGACTCGAAATAACAAGTTTTTCGTGATGAATACTACCTCCTCACATATCGAAGCGCGCAGCTATAACACCATAGCACCTCGTGAGCACGTTTCCTCGCCTAAACAAAAATTGTTTTCCCATTATCAAAATATTTTTGTTGGCCATAAAAATAAGAACACCTTTGACCTGATCAAGGAACAGCAAAATATCTTCAGTATTAAGGTCGTCGATGATAATAAGTCCATTTTTAAAGGGAAAATCTTCGAAATGGATTATGGAATTCGAAATAAAATGGTTAACTTCCGTTTTAATACTACCTCTTTCAATGAATATCGCAACCAAAAATTCTCCTTTGACAATATCCCTAATAAGATCAATAACGCTGACGGAGATAGCGATATATACGGATCGTATAGATACCATAGAAGTAAGGGTCAATCATCCGCGAATGCTATTGCCCTTAATACTTTGATATTGTTGATTACAGTGTCGTTAAATATAATAGTATTCGTCTGACGCGTTAATTGGAATTGGGTTTGATGTTACTACCTTTGCTCAAGGATAAATAAAGATCTTTTTTTAAAAAAATATTATATACAAAAACCAATGTCGCGCTATCGAATCATAAGTTTATTATCCCTAATTTTATGCAATCATTGTACAAAATTTTTATATACATAAAAGATTTCTTATTTTAATATATATATAAATTAATTCAGAGGGTGTTGTTGCTAGGAAGAGGCAAAGACATGTCCCACAATTCAAATTTTATTTGAGATTTTTTATGAGAAAATCGTTTATTGTTAGAACACCTAAAAATCAAGAAAATTATTCCAACGCGCTTAAAATGAGAATAGCCAACGACGCCAACGCTATTGATTAAATCTAGTTCATATATTTTTAAAATAATATTTCTTTTCCTCAATCCATGCAATAAAAAAATGTATTTAAATTATTTTATTATTAAACTTTAAATTCATTCTATAACAAATAACAATTATTGTAATGTTTTTTTTGTGATTATTATCATTTTATTTACAAAATATCTTAATTGTGTTTTAAAAAAATTGATATATATAGATAATTATCAGTATTTATTTTTTTGATAAATTCATTTTTTTAAAAAATAAATTAGATGTTATTTCTAAAAATAGATTACTTACTTATATAATAGTTAATTTTTAGCATTTTAAAAACAACTGCAGGCCATATTGGTTAGATCTAAGAGGTCATCATAGCTCACTTTTTAATCGCAACTTTTTTCCAGCTTGGTAATGTAAATTTTCGACATTTTCTTCACTGCTTGAAAAAATTATATATTTTTTAATGTCAACTGATTAAAATGAAATGTGATTACGATTTCAAAACTCTCATGGCTAAAGAACAAAAATGTAGGGGGAAAGTTAGCTAAGACGGCTTAAAAAAGTGTTTGAAATTTTCATTTTATTATAAATAAATTGCTGAATTATTTAATGTACCTAATTTCTCCTTTATCAAAAAATTATGTTTTTTAAATATTTTGAAAAGCTTTCTCTCTATAAATATCAATTTTTTATTCCCCTAGTATTTTTCATTTGTAATTAGTACTTTCTAAAAATGAAGTCTTTATTATACAAAAGCAAAGATGTGAAACTTCGAATATAGTAAGTAAATAAACTATTTTCTAATCGAATTTACGAAATATCCCTTTCCGTCCATTATTTATTTGTTTGAATTGATATATATAATATGTTGGGCTGAGCAGTATCATGAATACTTCTATTTAAAATATATTTATATTATATTTAGTATGATTTGACATAAATACAAATACTCACCCCCTATATATAATCATATAAAACGAAAGGTCCTTCAAAATATCTTCCAAAATCAATAAAGTGAGATCGCAATGAATTAATTAAAATTGTTTCAAAAGGTTGCACTATTATATTAAAATTCTGTGTCTCTGACGTAATTTCAAAATAAAAATGCCTATAGAAATTTTCAATCCGATATTATTGTGTACAATGGTTAATATCCCTCCAAAATAAATGTATATCTAATATTTTTTTAATATTCATATTTAAAATACTATTTTTGAAGAGTATTTATATTTAATACACATTATTCGAATAAATTTGTCGGATAATTTTCCCAACCCTGTGTGTTTTCAGAGACGTACCCAATGTGAAGTGGAAGGTTCTCCTTCCTCCTTTGGTAAATTTACAGGATTTTGTAATTATAATTTAAGCTAATAAAAATTATCATCCTACATTAATTTCACACCCTATCCCCCCAAAATTAATATGATGTCATTATAAATAATAAATGAAAAATATAATATAAGTTTTAATAATTTCTTAAAAATAATTGCAATAATATTTATTTACTATTGAAGTGTAAAACTAAAATTATTTTAAAAATTTAAACCTATTAATATTAAAAAATTCAGTCTAAAGTCTCTTAGTAAAATTTACTGCATGTAGGCTACCCTAGGTTTCCCCCTCATAGAAAATTGTGGTTAAATGCCTATGTGTTGTCTACCCTCAAATTATTTATTTATTCATTATAATTATGTAATAAATACATAGAGCATAATAAATATTTTTTTTATATAAAATACTTACTTTTATGTTAGTCAAAATTTGTGAAGACTGGAACTAGATATGTATGATTATATAGTTTTCATGCTGCTTTAATTTTATCATTACTTTTTTTATTTTGGATTACCTTAAAATAATTTTCCCCTGTATATGCTTAGTATTATTTTTCTATTATATCGAATTCTGCATGATTGGATTAGATTATGGCTTCACCTTCTATTATTTCTATTTCTATATCCTTTGTTTGTAAATAGTAACAACAACAAAAAATTTGTCTACTATTAAAAACTTGTATATTAAGTTTTTATTATATATTTCAAAGATTATGTTTAATTATTTATTTATATTAGCGATTTGCAGCGTCTACATGAGCGGGAGGGGTTGGAACAGTTTACATCCTATTTTTTTGAAGGGGGGGGGGGGTAGGGGGTAGACTGCTTTAATGTAGGTAATATAAATTTTTTGGGGGGCTATCTATTAAACTTTTAGATGAAATAGGACAAACTTTATTGCTGTAAAATTTAATACTTTTATCATAGAATTATTATAATACAATTCATCGACCAAATCTATATATTGCAAACAATCATACACATTGTTTTCCAAATAAAACTTTCTGCTATCCTTTTAAATGCAATTTAAAAGGTTTAGTTATTTCAGCAAGCTCATTGCCATAATAATTAATTCATTGTAAATAATGGTAATTGAATTTATTATCTAAAAAATAAATATATTCACAAAATATCGATAGTTGGTAGTAGAGATAGATTAATTCAAGTTATCCTTTATAAATTCTCTGAAAAGAGTATCAAAAAATTAATAAGGTAAAAATAATAATCGAGAATTTTTTAGGGGGGTAGGCAAAGATTTTTGAAGGAGGTTTGCATCCAGTGAAAATATGTCATGTAGACGCGGGCTATTTGCAAAAGTAGGCCCTATTTCTTTGAAAAAAATTGATTTCGGGCTGGATCGGGTCTAATATTTTTTTAAAAAATTTAGGCCGTGTCGGGGCGGGCATCTAAAATTTTGAAAATATCTAAATTTATCTATTTTATATTGCATTTTTTATGTAGTATAAAAATATTTGATTTTATTTATAGAAACTAGGCGCCATATAACATATATATTTTATTTTGAGTAATTATAAATTGATTTCTATATTTAAATAAATTCGCGCCGGGCTGGGTCGGTAAATTTTTTTAAAAAAAGCAAAACTTTCTAAAATAAATTTTGGGTTCGGGCCGGGCTTGAAAAATTAGGCCCGATGCAGATCACTAATTATATTAAGTACTTGCAGGCACCACCCAAAACAGAAAAATGGTATGATTATTGAAATCCAGGTCAAATAGAGTTTAGACATTTTAAAAAATTAAAATCTAGTCAATCTGGATTTCAAAAAATTGAAAATTCGGCAAATATGGGTATTCAGGTCAGGCCAAAAAAGTACATAGATAATTTTTTCCCCAAATCTTTACCAAACCTGAAGTTTCAGCTGGTCTCTAATTTAGCTATTAATATAACATATAATAATAAAGAAGTATCTGTACCTTTGGAAACGAATATAGGTTAAAGTTCATAATGGAATTCTCAATGACAGAGGCACGCATGCTACCCAAACACCGACATTATTTATATTATAATTATAACCCTATGTGATAGTGTCGATCCAACCAAAAAAATGAAAATACAGATATTAAAACGGATATTTGCCACTTTCTAAAATAAACCTATTATTAAATGGACTCACCGGAATTTTACTTCACTCATTAATAACATATGTTCATAGAATTCAAATTTGTTGGCCACTTTTTTTTTAGCTAACAAATGGATATACCTGAAATATTGATATTTGTAGACAACCCCCAAATAACTAATAATATATTAAAAAGGGATTTTATTTTGAGAGTGCACACAAAGGTAATTCTTATACAATTTTAATGGTGATATTGGTTTATATTTAAAAAGACAAGTAGACCTGAATTTGATAGGAGTGAATTTTCTGTTTATCGTCATTACAACGATTTCATTTTATTAAGGGAAACATTTATTCAAAAATTTCCATGTTTAATTTTACCAGTAAATAATACATATAATATTAAAAGTGATACTTATCAATAGCCATTAATGGAAAATAATGTGATTTTGCTTCTCAATATGATACATGATGTTAAAGCCTCTGAATGGATGAAACAGAGATTGTACTGTTTAAATTTTTTCTTAAAGGCTCTTTCAACACATCCTTTGTTATACAAAGAACAACTGTTTATACATTTTTTGACTTATAAAGTAACCAAGAATTATACAATTATATAAGAATTTAAATATAATTAAAATATTTGTTAAAATTATAATTATTTTCTGATAAAACTCTTAGTTTTAATCTAATAATTTTATATTAACTTGCTGCATATTTATTCTAATATAAACAAATAATTAAAATATTTGTTAAAATGAGAATTTTTTTCTGATAAAACTCTTAGTTTTAATCTAATAATTTTATATCAACTAGTTGCATATTTATTCTATTATAATCAAATATTAAAGATGACAAATGAACTAGAAGGTAAAGAATCTTTAAATTCTCTATCACCACTTGATTCAACATTGTCGACAAGTAAAGATAGTGGTTTAATAAAAGAAAATCCTGATGTTCAAAAGGCTATAATTACTTTAGCTGAAACCCATGTTTTGAATTACAATGATAGTTTGAATCAATTATTTGCATCTGATCAAGGTAAATACTATTTCTATTCATTCACTGACTATCTTATCTTAATTTTTGATAAAAATTGTTTTTTTACTAATATTGATAACATGATTTCCAATTATTTTATAAAAATATGATTTTTTGCTCTGAACTAATTGAATCAAATATGAGAATGTGAACAAAGAGCTAACCTTAAAATGACCTTCAGGTTGGTCTGATATTTGTAAATTAGGGTTTAGTCTTTTGATTTGTCCAGTCCTTTGTCATTTTATAAATTTTGCTCCACAATTTTATCAGTCCTTTATTGCCACAATTTTTTTTATCATATTCTTTTTCTATACATATTTTTGACAATTCATAAATAAATTTAAAAATATTATAAAAGATGCTAATCCTAATCCTTCCACTTTGCGAGATAGCAATTATCTACTTAGAAGACTCAACAAAACCTTGAAACAGAGTTCCACTGCCCTTATTTTAAAAGGGAGAAGCACCGAATTTCAAGAGGCCATTCAATACAGCACAAATTTTAGGGATATTTGTCGACGGTTGGATAAAGTGGGTGAACACATATGGTCAGAGTTTACAAGTTAGTTATTATATTTTACCTTTTTTAAAAATAAGAAATGAATGGGAAGGCAAAATGGCACTAATTTTTTAAAATTGGGATTCAAAGCTTGTTTTTACAGGGGTAAGCACAATTGCTAATAATGAGTTTCAATGATATTAGGCGATTTAAATAGAACTGACTTATTGAATTGAGTCTCACATATATCAATTAAGTTTTAATGAACTTAATACCAATATAATAAAATAATAACATCCTTTAAAAATAAATAATGCAATATAGATTTAATAAATTTTAAAATAAAATATTATTTTTTTGTTCACTTTATCAATATATATAGTCTTCAACTAGGAAAGCATGGCGGAGGTTATGATAAAGGAACTTATTAAAGTGGGAGGAGGGGGGGGGGGTAATCATGAGAATGTTATCGTCATTTTTTGTTAATTTTAATTTGGCAGGGAGGTGATTATATTTAGGAGGGGATATGTAATTAAATTTTCTCCATATTTTAGGGAGTAAGATTTTTGAGATGGGGGGGGGGGGGGTAATATTTTCGCGAAAAGTAATATTCTCATTGACTTATGGAGATGTAGAAAGTCTCTGTTTCAACTAATTAACCTAAAAATTCGTCCTACCAAATACAGGTTACAACAAAATACAACGCTCTTATATAGCCTTTCAAGATTCCACTTGGCTCAATTTTGAAATTTCCTTAACGGATTTGATAAAACGCGAAACTCAATGCAACTCTCGTTTGGCACAAACGCTGGACGAATGGTTACCCAGATACAAGAATTCCCACTTATTCATCAAGTGCTTTGCTATTGATTCTTTTTACAAAAAAAAATTGAAGAGAAAAATAATCTGTTTAAAATATTATATTATTTTAAAAGTAGTTGAAATGTGTTTATGTTGAAAATTTGTTATGAAAATATCTTGAAAAACTGGGTTTTTATAAGAAAAATATTTAAATTAAATACTTTTTTATGAGCAGTAAATAATAAACTAAATTATTTTATATCGTCCTATAATAGAATATTATATAATTTATTCCATATGGTTACTTGACCAACATATTTTCATAAATTATTTTTCTCATCGTCTTCATCGGCGAGGCCGGTCTTTGTTTTCACCCCATTCACCAAATTTCGTAAAGTAATTTCCCGTCAGCTCATCCGTAAGTAAATTTTATACACCTCGATCTCCGATTTATTTTAACTCATCTTAATTCCCATTCCACCCGAAGTAATGAATTATTCCTTATCTCTATTCATATAATTCAATCGTTACCCTGCATTCACACTACAAATTCGTGGCCCTGACTGTGAACGCAGGGTTAATATAGCTCGTTACTATTTTCGTCCTTTTATATTTTTCTGTTATATCAACAAAATCAATCTACATTCGCTACCTTGTAAAATAAAAATAATTAATACACAAAATTCAAAAAAATTTATTCTTCTTTTAATTGTTGCCTCTATAATTCCTTTTTTTTTCTCGTTCAGAAATCAATAATGTTTTTTTCTCTCTCGCCAAAGTCTTTGGATTTAATATTCCAACTTGCCGCATATTTTTTTTTATTAACAATCCATTTCACTCGACTCCATTTTGTCACCGACGACAGCACCATTTACATTATTACTACACCGTCCTTTTCCTACTTCATTCTCGTGATGCTCATTTCTTCTCCTCTTGGATTTATCACACCGCCCTTGCTTCTTCACCCATACATTCATTCTCCTCTACGTTAATATTCAATATGGTTTTATTCCGAAGAAGCCATTTACTTTATAATACCTCTTCTCATCCTGTCTCAATCCCTTGCAATAATTTTTCTCAGCTCTTTACTATCAACTCGTCATAATGTGCCATCTCTCTTAATTCGTCATAATGTATTATCCCTCTAATTCGTCACTTTAAACCAATACATACAGATATACTACGTTTTACCAACTAAATTCCATATTACTCCAAAATAAAAATATATATCATCTCTTTACTCGACTATTGACAACCTTAAGCACATTCCTATCACAATATCGTTAAAAATGAAAGAATTACTTTGGTCAGGTGATAATAAGATATTGCTGCATATTTATCCACCCCCCCCCCCACCCCTATGTTAATTAGAGGCCAAATGCCGTTTTCTGTTTATAGATGTATTTATTTTTTTTGTAAATATATTTATATTAGTGACTTTTTACTTTTACCTTAATTTACAATATTTAAAAATAAATAAGAAATTACGCGTTGTATTACGACTCATTGAGGGAAGGCATGTGTAACAGGGACGAGTTTCAAGTCGAATTGGAATTAACCAAGGACGAATACGAAGCCAGAAAAAGAGAAATTGCGAAGGTTAGTTTGATTCAAGCTACTTATTCATTATAAAATGAAATTATCCTTGAATTTTGACAATCGCGTTTTCCCGACACTATCATAAGATTCAAAATTGGTCAAATTTAAAAAAATGAATTCCCTGTTTTCTCTATTTTTTTTTATTTGGGTAAATTGTAAAAATTAGATGGATAGAAAAAAGAAAAAGAAGGCAGAAAGAAGTCATTTTTAGCGGTTTTTCTATTTTATTATTTTTTACTTTCACCCCGTCGTTTTTTATATTACTTTTATTCATTTATTTTTCTTCCACGTTGCGATTCAATATAACTGACATCTAAATGTAAATTTTCATATACCTATAGGTGTCAAATTACGAATATTTTCTTTATTTTTAGGAATCAATTCCTGATGCTCAATTGCATCACTAGGGCATATTTTTTTGAAAATGACCTTTTTTTTAGCTAACAATTTCAAAATGATATTTTAGGTATTTTGAAAAAAAAAAAATTTGGATTTTTCAGGAAAATTAGCTCCTTTGCGCTCCCCTCCCTTTCCAGTCCCGCACATATTTATTTATATAAATACATTATTATTAGTGTTATACACCATTATTGTTTATTTTCGTATTTATCTTGTATTGGAAAGTTGTACCCAAATTTATTCAAGATAATCTATATACTTTGTTTTTAATACATCCTGCAATCATGGTTGGTCAACTAAGATCCCAACAAAATCAACCACAGGATGGGGTACCTAGTCAGCCCCCACCGAATTTACTCACACCAGATAATTCGGTCAACCTACCAGCAGATGGAGCTGCGGCGATCACCTTAGCAATACAGCAGATCCAACAAATGGAAACCATGTCTACCCGTATGTTAAACTTGGAGACGAGCGGAAGAAGACGATCGCCCTCGGCTAGAAGTAACTATACATCTACGCCATTTCTGGACCAAATATCCAGACGAAGTAGAGCGCCATCACCAGCCCCCCTACCAACAATCAAGGCGCCATTAACTGCTGAGGAAAGGGTAGCCAAACTAACAAGAGTCTGGACAGGCGTATCAACAGACCTCCTCGAGCCCAGATGCAAGGCTAGCGAAAGAGACCGCCACGAACTCAAGCACCTCAAAGAAGTCGTAGACCTAATCTCGGTAAACACAGAGGCAGGAATCATCGACTCAATAACCAGAAGGGTTCGCATACTGGGCCTGGCAATACACTGGGGCTGGGACACAGCCCGGCTCAACGATACCTCCTACCAAGAAAAGTTTTTAGATTCAGAGGAAATCAAATTAGCCAATGAGCCCTTTCGGAGCAGGGGCCGCGCAGGCCCCTCTACGTCTTACAGGCGGCGCCCGGAAAGAAAGGAAGCGCCCACCACCAGGGGTAAGAAAAGGAAATAGAAATGATACCGTAAACAACAACCTATTTCTCCCTTCTACGCTACCTACTATCCTCCCCTTACCCCCCAATACCCAAAGGCTCTTATTAGGGCCACCCAATACCCAACAGCCCTTTTTAGGGCTACCTACACATGAAACTACGGGGATCATGTGCCCGGACAACGGTCCACCGGTCCTAAGAGGAGACGCAGCTCAATTTCCAGATTGGCTAAAAAGGGTAAATCTTTACCTAAGGGAATTGAGGCATCAGCTGTTTTCTCCTGATGAAGGCATTAGCTCGGATGACGAAAATAACGATAATAACGTCCATTCCCCGTCGGTCCCCGAGCAAATACCTGCCAATCAACCTGCTAGATCGGACTCCGATATTCCATCGTTTCGTTCTGAAGATTCAGGAATCCCCGAATGGTGGATGCCCAACACGTCAACCATGACATGGGAATCTAGCAGTGGTGGCGACCCCGAAGCTACGTCCATCATTTCCGGACTTGAAGACGCAAACTTCAGCGATGGAGGTGATTCTGGTATGCCCCAGATAGGGTCAACAGCAATTCCCAACGTGCCAGGTATTTTGAATGGAATAACTGGGGTGAACGCATGCGACTTTTACGGACGAACAGCTAATTAACAGCCCACAACTTGACATTAGCAGGGCAAGGCTGACTCCCGGTCCACTAATGTCAAATTTCACAAGACGCGTAGCCGCCGTGGCTTTAGACCTAGACTAGATGCCCTAAGGATAAACAACAACGAGGGCCACTACTTCACACATAGGAATAGCCACGCCATCTCCGAACGATACTACGGAATCGTTCAACAAATGATAGCCGCCGATATTGTTATAGAAACAGATAGCAGCCAAATCTGCTCGCCACTATACGTTATCCCTAAGGCAAACGGCACGCCGAGAGTCATCACCGACTTCTCTGAGACATCAAAGAACTTTTTACACTCCCCGTTCAAGCTAAAATCCATTCCCTTGATGTCCATCAAGCTAAACGAAGCTAAATATGCATGCAAAATAGATATTAAATCCGCATTTTTCTCGATACAGCTAGCCGAACTAGTGCGAAAGTTCTTCGGATTCAAAATACATGGAACATACTACGCATACAAAGTCCTCCCGATGGGTGCATCATTCAGCCCGTACTGCCTCCAGTCCATTATCCTAGACGCATGTGCAAAAACAGTAAGACGAGCCAGCTACAACGTATACTTAGATGATATACTAATATACGGGGATAATGAAAACGATGTGAAGTGGTCCACTAGATCACTCAGATGCACTCTGGAAGGCTGGGGCCTAGAAATATCCCAGGGAAAATCTGTATTAGACCCTACACCGTTTATAACATACCTGGGAGTGCCCATAAACCTGGAAAATAAAACCTTAAATGCAGACAACACCACGCGAAGGAGACTGATGCGATGCCTTTCAATATTCAGGAGACATTCATATCAACACCTGGAAATAGGCAGAACTCTAGCAGCAAAAGTGTTAGGAGTCATAAACCACTTCGCTTACACGATCACCGGCATGTCTAGACTCTTCTCGCCCTACTACATTACCCTGATGGAAGGGCAACTAGCCCCGCTGGTTGACACATACCTGGCATTTAGAAAAGCCGAAGTCATAATCACGGCCCTTGATTTCCTCTGAATCTAAAAACTTTTCTTGGTAGGAGGTATCGTTGAGCCGGGCTGTGTCCCAGCCCCAGTGTATTGCCAGGCCCAGTATGCGAACCCTTCTGGTTATTGAGTCGATGATTCCTTCCTCTGAGTTTACCGAGATTAGGTCTACGACTTCTTTGAGGTGCTTGAGTTCGTGGCGGTCTCTTTCGCTAGCCTTGCATCTGGGCTCGAGGAGGTCTGTTGATACGCCTGTCCAGACTCTTGTTAGTTTGGCTACCCTTTCCTCAGCAGTTAATGGCGCCTTGATTGTTGGTAGGGGGGCTGGTGATGGCGCTCTACTTCGTCTGGATATTTGGTCCAGAAATGGCGTAGATGTATAGTTACTTCTAGCCGAGGGCGATCGTCTTCTTCCGCTCGTCTCCAAGTTTAACATACGGGTAGACATGGTTTCCATTTGTTGGGAGATCTGCTGTATTGCTAAGGTGATCGCCGCAGCTCCATCTGCTGGTAGGTTGACCGAATTATCTGGTGTGAGTAAATTCGGTGGGGGCTGACTAGGCACCCCATCCTGTGGTTGATTTTGTTGGGATCTTAGTTGACCAACCATGATTGCAGGATGTAGTAAAAACAAAGTATATAGATTATCTTGAATAAATTTGGGTACAACTTTCCAATACAAGATAAATACGAAAATAAACAATAATGGTGTATAACACTAATAATAATGTATTTATATAAATAAATATGTGCGGATGAATCGTTCTATTTGTGTTCAATATTGTATTCTTTGGTTTTGATTTGAGGTTATTGCCTTGTTATAGTTCCGAGCTATGAATGCTCAGTTGTTCTAGGTCACAGGTAATGGTTGTTGATCCTAATGATAGGTTTGATATTAGCGACGGTGTTTCGATTGTTGAATTATTTCCGAATAGGGAGGTTTCTTCGTCGTGCAGCATTATTTGTCCCGAGAGCTGCGGGCCTTTGAAGAGGTTTCGATTGCTAGTATCCCCTATCCAGGTTCTTGATGGCTATAAACTTTATATATTTTAATAACCTTTGAAATTTATATTTTCTTAATTTCTTTTAAATTTATTTAATGACCTTTGAAATTTATATTTTCTTAATTTCTTTTAAATTTATTTAATGATTTTTTTTTCTTTTTGTGAAATATATTTTGTGCGACCTTTAAAAAAAGATATCGTATTTGTATATGTAAAACGTTAAAATAACTTTTCTTAAAGTAACCTTAAAACAAATTGTAAGTTGTAACTTTTCTTAAAGTAACCTTAAAACAAGTTGTAAATTGTATATATTAGTATTAAAATAATAATATATATAGTTGTAAATTTTTTTTAGTAGAGATAGAAATAAAAGATTTTAAAAATGAATTTTAAATAATATCAGTCTTGCCTCTCCTGCCTTCTATGTAATCAAAATGGTGGCAGCATACTTATTAATCATTACATTACCTATTAAAACAATTATAAAAAGAATTTTTGACAATAATAAGAGAGATTTTTCATATACATTACATGAATCAAAGACTATAATTATGATACGATATGATAGATTGGATGACATGCAAAGCTTATGAACTTATAAACGGAAAGGAGTAATTGATACGAATGGGAGATAGTTTACACTAAAGGCTAAAAGATATCAGAGACACTAAAGAAATTATCAACATTAATCGTATTGTATTTGTATAAATATATATAACAAATTATAGTTATAAATATTGATGTAACATAATAAAATATAATGAAACCTCTAGTTAACGTAAAAAATACTATAATTGAATGCCCTATTTTTAATAATAATGTTGAGGTTTTTTTAATTTGATAAAATATTTAAGGATCCGCAATATACCGATGTAGAAAAAGCTTACGCATTCACGCAAAAGTTACCTGATGATCTTTACCTTAGACTAGAAGCAATATGCACTCCTACAGAATTTTGCAATCCATCAATCGTACTTGAGAG